TCTACAGCTAATCAAAAATCCTCAGAGGAGAAACATGGCTCCCTTGACCCTTTAGATCAGACAAAGAGTTTGTTGGTCTCTACATAGGTAGGGCCAGCACCCACATTCATCAATGAATACAAAGTAGCTATGGAAAACCCACCTTCCTCCTTCTGCAACAGCTAAAGATCTTTAGGGTCAAGGTCTTTCAGGGGGAATAGTACAGGTAGCACAATGGGGCTGGGGAAACTATTCTCTACCCAATGGAGTTTCAGCCACATCTCAGGGCCTTGCACTGTTCTAAGAGAGTTAGAAAATAATTTAACAAAGACCCAGGAAATCTCTGAAGCTCTAGACAAGAGCTCATACATGTAAGATCTCCTCACCTGAACTTGAGTAATAACTCAAACCTTATTAAAGGTTCATAAATACGGACTATGTCTAACACGTATTTTTTAACCAGAGTGAATTCTGGTATACACATGCTCCTTGAACTCCTGAGATTACTCAGCCCTTGTCAATCATTCATGTCAATCTTAGCTAAAGACCCAGGGAGAAGTACCCAGGCTGGGGTACACATCTTTTAAAACCCAAAAGCTAGATATATCTGTGTGTGAAGTGCTTTTTACTTTCCTGTCATCCCAGTACCACTTTTCTGTTCATGGCACATTTTTGTTGGATAGACCTTCCCTGAGCACATTTTCCTAGGATCCTAAATAAATGTATCTGCTTTCTTTTACCATGGATGTAAGCTTTGCAATTCATTGTTCATTATACACAAGAGCCTGGAGTCTATCTTCTGGATCCATCCCATGGTATCAAAAATGCTTCTACAATCTGGCCCCAACCTGTCCACTTGGTCTCATGGCTCACAGCAATCAATTACTCAACAGCTCTTTACTCAGTGCCTGCTAGCTGCTGGGTGCTAGGCTGGCACTGGGTAGTTCCTCCCTGAGGAGCACATGGACTTTAGTCTATAGACTTGTAAATAGATCGTGATAACAGGGAAGCAACTAACTTTACCTGGAGGTATTAAGGAAGAGCATGCAGAAGACTTTGGTACCAAGGAAAAGAATATGAATTTTATCCTTTAGACTGAGATGCAGTGTCTTCAAAGCTGCGGTTTCTCCCCCTCACCCCCAGTACCAGGGATTGGACTCAGGACCTTGCACTTGCCAGGCAGGCACAGTGCCACTGAGCTATATCCTCAGTCCTGGAGGGGTTTTTTTTTTTTTTTTTTTTTGGTTGTTGTTTGCTTTTTTTCCTAGTTATTTGGATTTTTTCTTGTTGGTTTGTTTTATTATGGTACAGTGCAGTGTATCAAACCAGGGCCTTGCACACGCTAGGCAAGCACTCTACCACCAAGCTATAACCCAAGCACCTTTTGGTATTTTTTGTCGGATATTTTAAAATGCTCTTCCAAGTAGCTTTCTTTTTCTTAAATGATAGAATTCATGGCACCCACCATTTTTGAAAGGGCTTAATCAGGGGCTACTTGGGAAGGTTAACTGTTTAAAGACTGAGCTACAGAACAGAACAACTACACTTCTGAGTTTCTGGGGTCATGCTAACACAGTGACTGAGTAGGAGACAGCCACATGAGACAGGTGCAAGCAGGACTGGGCTAGACAGAGGCCCCTAAGAAGTTTAAACTCAGGCCAGTAAGGACAGGTTCACCCTCCAAGCTGAGAAACCAAGCCAATTGTCCCTTTTAAAGGGTACTGAGTCTGAAAGCTTTGGCATTAAGAACAGCTGAAACAGTTAATTCTGAGCAAATCAAGCTCGTAGTCACCCAGTATCAAGGAATGAAGAAGGGAATCAAAAAGAGGAACTTAGGAAATTTTTTATTTGAAATAAGGAGAAGAAAAAAAAAAGCCTCCTGGTTTCTCCAGGAGGGAAATTTGCAAAATGGACTTTCCATGTGACCACTCAGTCAAGAACTTTTTATGAATAAGTGGATCATGGGAATTGCTTACTTGGTTAGTGGCTGCCTATCACAGGTGGTTCTGTGAGTTTAAAATGACAATTAGAACTCAGGCTTTCTCACCCAGTTACTCAGCATGTAGGGTTTAAAGGAAATTGAGATTTTAGAGGAAAAACTGGTTGTTTTGCATTTTTAAATTCTTGGAATCTGTACTCTTAGTACAGAGTGGCAGGCTGAACCAGGAGGATCACCATGAGTTTGAGGCTAGCCTAGACTATCTAGTGAGTTCAAGGCCAATCTGAACTACACAGTGAGATCTTGTCTCAAAAAAAAGAAAAGAAACTTGTGTATCTGATTTAGTTCACATAACATTATAATCTCAGGTACATCCATTTTCCTACAAATGACACAAATTTATCTTTACTGATAGCAGAGTAGTACTTCATTGTGTATAAATACCACTTTTTTTTTTTTGAGACAGGATCTCACTATGTAGTTGAGACTGATCTGGAACTCACTATGTAGCCCAGGCTGGTCTCAAACTCATAGTGATCCTCCTGTCTCAGCCTCCCAAGTGCTGGGATTACAGGAGTGCGCCACCATGCCCAGCTTAAATACCAAATTTTTCTTTATCCATTTACTGTTGATGGACTATATACAGGCCACTTACAAGATTTAGCTATTGTGAGTTGTACCACTAATGTGGGGAGATACACGTCACTGTGATATGATGTCTTTAACTCTTTAGGGAAGATATCTAGAAATAGAATAGATCAGATGAATGGAATGAAATTTGAGTTTCATGGATCTTCAGCCAATTTTTGGATATTTGTCCTTGGAGAATATTTTCTGTGTAAGGTTATGGTGTTCTCTGTGCAAGGTTGTGGCTCTAGCTGCAACAGTGCTTGTTATCATGTATGAAGTTCCTTCTTTTATAACCTCCCAGGCCTCATTTTGTAGTCATTAGAGTTTGACACAGGTGACTCCATTTTGATTCTAACAACTTTCATTCTAGCAACAAACCCTGTGTGAAGACATTTTTGAAAGGAAGCACCACTATTTTTCTATTTTTCTTTTTCTGGTGTGTGTGTGTGTGTGTGTGTGTGTGTGTGTGTGTGTGTGTAGACCGGGTCTTGCTATGTAGTTCAGGTTGGCCTTAAACTCACTATGTAGCCCAGACTGGCCTCAAACTCAAACTCAAAGTGATCCTCTTGCCTCAGCCTGTCGAGTGCTGGGATTACAGACATGTGCTACCTTGGTTGGCTAGCACCACTTGTTCTCATTTCAGTTCTCATAGATACTGGGGTAAATTCTGGGGCACAAAGAAGACACTCCTGCTCTTCCATGGGATGACAAATATAGAAGCAGACCTACAGGACCAGGAATGTTGTTCAGTAGTAGGCACTTGCCTAGCACATGTGGAGCCCTGGACTCAATCATCAACAACAGACAGACAGACAGACAGACACACACACACACACACACACACACACATACGCACACACGGGAGTGGGTGGAGATCCCAAATTATCAGAATTTGGTAGGCCCAATGAGAAAAAGGTATAAGGACTGGTAAACTCATACAAAAAGATCAACTAATCACTCAGTCTAGCCAGTAAGGGAGGAGGGTATCTGAGAGGGCTTCCTGGGGGAGCTGAAGCCTGAGACATTTATTTTTCCCATTTAAATACTTACAATATTAGAATTAGAAAATTCAATAAAACATCTGAAATCACCTTCCAATTAAACATTTTGCTTTTGGCACAGTGAAACAGCATGTTACTTGCCAAAATCCTTTTTCTTTCCTTGGTACTGAGGACTGAACCCAGGGGCTTTGCACTGAGCTAAATCCCAGCCCTTTTTAAATGTTTTATTTTGAGACAAGGTCTTGCTAAGCTGCCCAAGCTGGACTATGATTTGCAAACTTCCTGCCTCAGCTCCCAGAGTGCTGCAATTACAGGGCTCCATCACCAGGCCCTAGTCTATGTGCTTTGCTATGTAGTTCAGGGCTTTGGTACTAATACCTATAGGGAGACCCTTCATAATGAAAATCTACATGCAGGACTTGTCTCTCCCTAAGACCTAGTCTCTCAAAAAACCTAAATGAATCACTTCTGTAACACTGAAATTCACATTTGGCCCTTTTCTCTGTAATGCCAAAGTAAATTATTTAAGAGTTCTTGGAATAAACAACTGAGTAAATTTACCAAAAGGCCTAGACCCAATTCAGATATATGAAATATGTTTCACTATCAAGCTACTTAAATCTTTTTCTCCTACATATATAGCTCTGGTCCCTAGAAGAACATTTAAAATAAATATTCTCCTTTATAAACACCAAGAATCATGGTCTTATAGCCATGACAGTAAGCTTCTAACTTAATTTCTGATATAGAGGAATCTGCTTACTTTTTATTCAGAAATTCTACAAAGTCATATGTATGTCAGCTGAAGACAGGATGTGGGCACAGAAACTGGGATCACTAAGGGTTTAGGTGAAATTCAGATGCATGCACAAGCAATAGTAACATACCTGTTTTGTTGGTGATAATTTGTTTTTCTCCTGAGCTTCTGACCAGTTTTCCACAACAATACTCCAAAAGAGATCTAATTGTGTTATCTCAGGGAAAACTGTCTTACCAAGGTGGATTATGTAAAGGTGCAAATTTTCAATGATGGATAATGTCTTTATATTGTATACCTTAAATGTACCAGTAAAATTAATTTCAAAAAATAAATGAAAAAAAAAAAAAGAAAAAGCGTCTTTACCTTGAAGATCTAGATTCTAAATTCACAAGAGTCCTTCATTAGTGAACTGGGTAGCAGATTAAGCTCATGTGGCCCAGTGAAGGGCCAGCAGCACCAGCTGACTTGAGGGAGCCTGAAGAACACTTTCCTGTATGTTCAGGAATTTGGTTATTAATCAATCTCATCAGGATGCACATAGAATTTTCCTATCTAGTTTTCTTGAAGCAAAACCTACAGATTAAATGGAATGCAATCTCACAATCTTCCAATGAACAATGTGGAAAACAGTGGCTGGAGGAATGCTGGCCCTTTAACAGGTGAGGGCAGGGAGGAGTTGGGGTCTCTTTAAAGCTGAGAGGAGCAAACAGGCCCTGACTGCCATGGCCACCCAAAGCAGGAAGAACAGCAACAGTGAAGTGGTGGGTGTCATTGTGCACAGATGGTGGCTGGTGCTGTGCATGAAAGAAGTGCTTCTCTTCTGATTCCTAGCCCTGTTCTTTATTTCTGTCCCACTGCAGAGGGGGCTAAGGGTGGCCGTTTATTTCCAAGTCTCTTTCCTGCCCCAGGTTTACCTTCCAGAGGCTGACAATGCTTTCTCAGTGGAGGACAGAGCCGTAGAGGAAGACTGCCAGCCTACCAAGATGAAATGCCTTGAAGGTATAACCAAGTTGGCCCAAAAGTTAGGGATATGGAGACCTGCCATTCTGTTTCAGCATAAACTTGGCCACCAGGATTAGCGGAAGTGATTCCAAATTCTTCCGCTTGCTAGTTACATTACACAGGGTGACTTGAAATCATATTAATAGACTTTATTTTCCTTGCTTATGTAGTAAAATTATAACAGCATTGACAGGCTGGAATCACTGAATCACTGTTCAATGGACAGATATGTGTAAAGTATCTGGCACATAGGATTAAATTGAGTCAGAGCAGCTGCCTCTTATGCCGTTAAAGAGGCAACAGAAGGGGCTGCTTGGTGGAAGAAAGCAGCTGGAGATGAAAGCCTGTAAGGCACTCTATGAGGTCATCAAGGAGGCAGTGTGGCAAGTAAACCTCAGCACCTGTTAGTTCAATTTACTTTAGAGGGGGATGGTGTAGGGCACAATGAGGTAGGGAGACCAAAAACCTTTAAAGCAGAGATGTTGGGCAAAAGTGACTCTAGAGAAGACTGACGACAAACAGAAATGTTAGAGTAGCAGCCAGTCTAGCCTGGGCTCATCATGTGGAACCTGTTTCTTCCTCCACAGGTTTCCGTTTACACCAAAGACCAGGCAAGTTCGGTGGCCCCTCTACTCCTAAGGGAAAAGATGAGAAAGACAAGATAGCAGAGGAGGAGAAGGAGGATTTAGATCCATGTTTGGTTGCAGATCCAGATGAAGAAGAAAATGATCTTGGGGCTCCAGCTGCCCTTGACATCACTCATTACATGCAGGTGCCCTGGCAGGAGCTGGGAAAAGGGTTGACCCCAAACTGTCCACAGCTCAGACTGTTGCACAACACCCTTCTCTTCTCTGCCACTTTCTAAGGTTCTGAATTTAACATTTTCTGTTTCAGGCTTGAGACTGAGTTAGGGACTCTCTCTCTGACCCTCTTCCCTCCTAGTGCCACTATAGTTTCTTGATGCTGATTCATCTTAAAAACAAGGCCTTATCCTGGCTATGCATAGCCCCCCTAATGGTAGTGACCTGAATTCCTATGTTTCAGCAGTCCATCCTTATATTTGTTCCCTTGGTGTCCATAATCAGTGGAGAGAGACAAGGACTACCATGTAGCAATGAGGTGACTCAGACTTTCAACCTCTTCCTAAGATACTCGTCTTGCTTTTTTGGGTGAAGAGGGATCCTGGTCCCTTTGGCTATGAAGGCCAGGTGTCATTGTCCCAGGTATTGAAATGACTGGCTTTGCATCCCCTCCCACATCCCTATGAACACAAGTGAATGTAGAAGACACCACGGGGGCCCATTTGAACGTGGGTTTTCCTCCTTCCTGTTCCAGAAAAGTCTATCCTGCTCTCCTGGACTCAAGACCCCTGGTGTGCTGGGGATGTCACCTGCCTCCTTGCACTTTGTGTGGCAGGTGAGTCTACTCCAGTCCTCCTATGAGGAGGTGACTGGGTGTTAAAGAAGACTCCATCCCTGAGTCCATGCTGAGTTTCCATCAATTATGTTCACTCTATCCTCCTCTCTGCTCCCTACTCTCTGCTGTCTTTTGGTGAGATAAGCACCCCAAATGAGGAGTGGGTATGGGAGCTGCTCCATCATGTAGAAGAGATTGGTAAATACCAGATTGTGTGCTCAACCATGATGCGGATGGACAAGATGGTACGGGGGTAACTGACCATTCATATGGAAAAATTAGAGCCCATTTCTACCCTATGAAAGATTTCAGCAGATGAGCAGTACTAACTTAGGGCTGGAGGGAACACCTTCCCTCAAAGAACTGCACAGTGGGAGCATGGAGGGCAAGATTCAGAGACCAGGAAATCCTGCAGGAAGAACTAGAACTGCTCCAATGAGGTCTTCAGATGACTCAGAAAAGAGTGTTGCCTTGGTGGCTAAAGACACAGAGCCTGAGAGAAGACTTAGTTACAGAGAGAAGAACTAGAGATGTTGAAAAGCATACATCCCCCCATACTCTCAGGGACCTATGACCCGATTTCTAGGAGGTGACAATACTGGTGAAAAAGCCGGGAACCACTGTCTGATGCCCTCACAGCTAGCTTGAAGGATCCCCAACACAGAAAATTTGGGGGGAAGTTTTTTAAAGGGAAAAGGCAGGTGGCAGTGTACAGGCAGGACAGAAACTGAACTTGAGCAGGTTCTCTTGGCAGATGCTCCTCCAACCACCTTCGAATTCCTCTCTCAGTCCCTGTACTGTCACCAATTTCTTTCCAGCCTACATTTCCCAGCACCAGCTCTCCAGCTCGGCATTTTGGACCTCAACAGCCCCTGATAGACTCATCTTTCTTCTGCAACCAATTACCCTCGTGGCCTTCTAGGCTCAGGTACTGGTTCAGGGTGCCAGGAATTACACTGACAGGTTTAGTTCTTTCTAGAGGCCTCAGGAGCTGGTGGCTGAAAGAGGATGAGAGCCACTAACCGTTACTACAGAAAAACACAGGAACCTAATACAAAAATTTGAAGTATAGTATAATCTCTTCTCCCTCACGGATGAAGAAATGGAGCCACAGGGAGATTAAAGATTTGAAGTCAGCTTCAAGTTGTCAGTTGACAAAACTGACAACCAGGCCAAAGTTTTCCTACTGTTGCAAGATTTTCTGCAGCCAAATTGCAGAAAAATACATCTTGAGGGTGGAGAGTTAGAACTGTGCCATTTCCTATTGTTTGATAGGAGGGGGATAAACAAATAGGCTCTTAAACATCCATTGGAGCTTAGATTATTTTTCAGCCATCTGACCCAGCTCCACCCTCAGCACCAAAGGATCCTGCAGCAGCAGCAGCAGAGTCAAACACCAAGGTAAAGCCACAATGATGAACAAGCTCCAGGGGTGCCTCGCACAGGCTGGGTACTGCCTAGTGGCCAGACATCTGCCCCAGTCCCCTGCACAGGTGGCACCATCTGAGGCTGTTGTCCAACACCGCACTCTTGCCCATCACGACCAGAGGTCTCTTCTGCCTGCTCACCACTCCTTGGGAATTTCAGTGTGGCCGGGGTGGTTAGGCCTAAAGGGGTGTTCCTCCTGGTTTAAAGTCCCACAGCCAAGAAGACTTGGTTTCAGCAGCCAGACCCTTATGCTAACATCATGACCCGAAAAGAGAAGGAGTGGGTGATAAAAGTGCTGATAGCTCAGCTGCAGAGCAAAAACCCACATCTGGATGATTATTACTATCAGGTGAGTCCCCAGGCATTTGTGGCAGCTTTGAATTATGGGGCCAAAGCGGCTGAGACTTTTGGAGCCTTCTCTGATCCTCTCTTTAACTCATAAAACCTGTATCTATTTGGGTGGGAGAGACAGTCACTACAGGACAAGGGTCATTGCTAGAATTGACATCCCAAGTTCTTTATTTTCTAGTCTACACTTAAGCCAAATGGGATTATTTATGATTTCCTGAACACTTAGGCTTTGTCTCCATACTTTGCTAAGAAATTCCCCTATGCACCTTGGAAATATGAACTTTCCCAAGTTTGTACACTTTCAGGAGTCTTAGAAATATCTTGTTGCAAACACTCTTCTATTTTTTTAGATCTAAAACACAGAGATCTTGCCAGGTGTGGTAGTGCATGCCTGTAATCCCAGCATTTGGGAGCTGAATCGGGATTATTGTGAGTTTAAGGCCAGCCTGAGCTGTAAAGTAAGACCCTGTATCAAAAAAGCAAAGTTAAACATAAACAAGGATCTTAAATTGTGAGATTCAATTTGTTGAATTAAAGAAATACTGACAGACATTTTAACTCATTCTCCCCTGCTTCCTGTCTCCCTTTTATCATGGGGCAAGTCTTTGTATACTTTTTCCATGAGTTACCAAACATCTATGAGCTTCCTATCAATATTCTCCCCTTTACTTCCTTTCCATTTACATTACTTTCTTTTCTTTCCACTAATTTAAACCCTCCCCTTTTTGCCAGGATCATTGAAAGTGAAAATTTTGTACTCACTTTTTTTGGGCAGTGCTCCTAAATGAAAAATCCTATTCTTTTCTTTCCCCCCTAACTCATAATCATAACTTTTTAGTTATTTTAATTTAGGATTCTTCAACTTGTTTTAAGATGTGAGAGCTACTGAGCAAATCCAAAAATTTATACAATTGGTCCAATAGCCAACTGACAAACACATCTATAGTGCTTATTCTGGACTCTGAGCTGCCGATGGTCCTCAGATCATCAGATAAACTTTGGTTTAGGAAGGTGCAGGTGGGACCACAGGTTACAGTGAGGAAGAGCACAGATGCTGTGTAACACATGAGCTTGGAACAAAGAATGCCAGAAGCTTGCAGAGACTGGGACAAGTGATCCTTCTGGCTCTCCACTTTGCTCTCTGCCCCATCATCAGATCTGGTACTGTTACCTAGCTTGTCAAGTATTGTTTCAAGAATCCCAAAACAGCCAGCACAGAGCTTAACTCTTTAGAACAGCTTCAAGGAAGGCCGAGGTACTAGGGTCACTTCCAGAAAGATTGCTGTAGGAAAGGATGCACTGAGAGGTTATACTTAAGAATCTTAATTCTAAATTCAAAAGATGAACATAGTTTTTTTGCTGTTGTCATTGTTCCTTGGATTCTCAGAAATATTATGAGAAGCTAGAGAAGGAGGCAAATGAAGAACTACGTGGACAAAGGAACAGGGTTCGGTCTCCAAAGTTGGTGACACCTTATATTCAGAAGGCAGAGACTTATGAATCAGGTAGGACTGGGCTGGTCTACTGATTTGGGCTGGACATCTGGTTGGGTAGTGGGTGGAAAGGGGAGAGGAATCTGTCTCTTCTAATTCCTTTCCTACAGTGGTTCGTATTGAAGGCTCCCTGGGCCAGGTGGCTGTCTCAACATGTTTTAGTCCTCGCCGAGCTATTGATGCTGTATCTCATGGAACTCAAGAGCAGGTAGGAACATTACTTTCCCACGAACCTTTTTTCCACCCTCTCCTGTTTCAAAGAAGGATCTAGAACATCTTCATGTTTGGGTTCAGATTGCAACGTAAGAGTGAGGAAGCAGCAAAATCAGGCTGTGTCTAATCTTTCTAGTTCAAAGCTTACCTAATGTGAAGCCTGGGCTGCTGTCGTGGCATTGTGGCTGATGGCCAGAGACACTTTTTTTTCCCCCCCAGATTTCTCAGACAGGGTCTCACTATGTAGTTCACGCTGGCCTTGAACTCACTATGTAGCCCAGGCTGACATGAAACTTGTGGTCATCCTTCTGCCTCAGTCTCCCAAATGCTGAGATTACTGGTGAGAGCCACCACGCCAGGCTCCATAGACTCTCTTCTCCTAGGATCCAGCAGCTGCAAGCAGTCAGAAGCTTCGGGTATTATGCAAGATTGAGAGGGTGAGATATCAATTCCTGGGGGGAGGAGTTCCTGACTTACCTTTGAGAATGGGAGAGTGCTCAAAGTTGCCTCTTATTTTTCCACTCTCAAATTCCCAGATGTTCCTGCAGTTACTAGAGATAGAAGAGGGCCAGAAGGGACTTCCACAGACCTGCCACTCTGGGCAGCAGAACAACCAGATTGAGAAGCTCTTCCAAGCCTTAAAGACCCAGGAGCAGAGCAACCTAGAGTGAGCATGGGAGAGTCCCAGGAAGGAAGGATCAGCAAAATTATTGATCTTGATGCTATCCCTCCTTCCTAGCATGTAGCACTCTCATGCTCTCTTCCATCCCTTCTTCTTCCCTGCCTTTCTCTCTTTGTACTGGAGATCAAACCCAGGAGTGCTCTACACTGAGCTACATTCCAACCCTTTATATTTTTTATTTTGAAACAAGATCTCACTAGCTTGCCCAGACTGGGCTCAAACTTGTGATCCTCCTATCTCAGCCTCCCAGAGTGCTGAGATTATAGAAAAGCACCAACATACCTGGTTTATGGCTCTCTTTTGTGTTCTAAACTCTGAAAGTGCTCTCTTCTCTCCCTCTGCAGGGAGACAGCGGATAGCTTCCTACAGGTGCTCTCTGTGAGGAAAGGGAAAACCTTGGTGGCCCGGCTGCTGCCCTTTCTGCTACCTGACCAGGCTGTTAGCCTTCTTGTGATTGTCACCCAGCATCTGCCCCTCCTGATCCGGAGGGATGGGACTGACCAGGTACCATGAGTTCAGTGTAGAAAAAGATGTTCTTCTGAATGGGTTAGGGGTCTTGCCTCTCCTCCATTCTCTACCCCCTGGAATTGCCAGCAAAATGCCTGCCTGACAGTGAGCAGGGCCAGCCCACTACTCTCAAGTGAGGAAGTTGGTTACAGAACAAACTACTACCCAAAAAGTAAATCATCAAGTATGATGAGCAAAAGAAAATAGGTTTGTGCTGTGAATGTTTGAGAGAAAACAAGCCTACCCCCTCACCCCCATAAGTTTTGAGGCCTTACGGGAAGGCTTCATAGAATGGGTGAGTGCTGCAGGACCCAAAGTTAGAGAAGGAGAGTAATCAGCGGAAAGGCCCAGGAAGTAACCTAACCAGGAAAAAGCCAAAAGCAGTTCCCAGAAATGGACAGGGCTGTATGCAAGGCAGGAGGAAGTGAAGTTACAGTGAACTTTGGGAGAAGAGCTTCCTGGTCTTTTTCAGGCCCTGCACATGTTGTTGAAGCCTCTGGGAAAATGTATCAGTCATTTGACCTTCCACAAACTTCTCCAAGGACTTCAGGGGTTAATATTGCTAGCACCTGGCTCCTCAGAGCACCCAGTCACTGTGGTACTTCAGAACCAGGTAACATATCTAGGAGGCTTTTCTTTTCCCTAGATGGTTTCTGAGTCACTAGTGGGGAGTAAGAGAATGTTCTCTCTCCACAAATCTTATCTTCTGTAGTGCTTCTGAACTTCTATAAGATCACCTGGAGAGCTTACTTGACATCAGTTCCTTGGTCCCATACCCAAAGAGTCAATCAGAAGGGGCTCCCCGCTCAACCTTGTGGTACTGTGGTTTGCTACTTGGGTCTTTACACTGAGCTACACCTTCAGCTCTTTTATTTTGAAACAGGTTCTCACTAAGTTGCCTGGGCTGGACTCAAAACTATGATCCCCATGCCTCGGCCCCCAAGGGTACTGGGATTACAGGGATGCACCATCACGCCCAACTCTATCTGCTTTTGTAACAAGCTCTCTCCTACTGCTGCTAGTGTGAGCCTCTAGAGCAGATGTCCCCAATTTTTTATTTGTGTGCCTTCTAGTAAGAAATTCTGAACCATACCATGCATGTGTTTATAAATCACATAAAACACTGTAATAATAATAGGTTTATAACAAATACAAGAAAGTTTAAAATGATGTGACTCTAGATCACATTCTAGATGTGAAAGTTCTGATAGTCTTCCAACATTCTTATGTATTATCTTGTGTACCCCATACTGAAGGTTTTTGCTTACAGTGCTTTTTTTTCTGTGGTATCCACAGACTACCTGCATCTAATTTCTGGACCAATACCTGATCTATACACAGATTCTGGGTTGGAGCACAGGCGGGTACATTTAATCAGCTCTCAAAGAGAGGTCTGTGTAAACTTCAGAGCAGTGATTCTTTAGGGAAAGTGAAAGTTCATTGGCTAGTCAGTGTAAAACCTGACAGCTCCTGTGGTTATTGGTCTCCGTCCATAAATGTTAATCTGCCCTCTAGTTAGGAAGATACCAGAACTAAGAAAGCCCTAAATGCCTAAAGTGAACTCATTTTGTTCTGCACTATGTATATCACTTGCAGTTTGGAATATCTTTGCTCTATGCCCTGCTGAGTCACGGGGAGCAGCTGGTGTCCCTGGATTCTTCTCTAAAGGAACCCAACAAGGATCACACAGCTTGGTAAGATCATAAAGGCTCTGTCAATAGTATTTCAGGGATGTGAACCAGGCGAGCTATTTAATGAGTGGCATTTCCATTATTAGGGAGATGGTTAGGCCCAGAAAGAAATATCAGGATTATGGCTGGTTTTGTTTTTGTTTTCTTATAGTACCCTAGAGTGTTGATCTTCCATAGGAAGCAATGTAACAGTACTTCAGGGGATAAGTTTTAGAGTCACAGACCTACATTTGAGTTCTAGATCTATCACTTGTCAACAATACAATTCCTTACTGTTTCTTTAGTGATGATACTGATCCCTGAGAGTTATTCAGATTGAGCACAAAAGAAGATATGTAAAATTTAAGCATTGTCTGGCACATACCAAATGTGCAATTGTCATCTTTTGCTACCTGGGGTTTGGTGGTTGTGATAATAGTGGTGGAAAGATAATACTGAACCTTGGCCCAAGTGAGTGTGTTTCTTGTATAAATATGAAGACTCTGACTGTGTTTCTTCTTCCCTGTCCCTTAGGACAGACATGGTAGTTCTGATTGCCCAGGAGATAGCTCGAATGCCTATAGCCTTCCTGGCAGAACCCCTAACCGTCCCCAGCAATCTGCTTCCCCTATTCTGTCGCCTCATGGACAAACAACTGGTTCAGCAGCTGGAGACCAGAATGGAGTAAGTGATGGCAGAAAGAAAGTCACAGCCCCTGTTCAAGCCCAATCTAGAATATGTCATTCACTGAACCACTTCTTTTAACAGGTTTCTCTGGCTTGAACCACCGGTAGTATATGCATGATTGGCCCATTGGGCACTTTGTACACTGGTGTCAGAACTGGGACAGTCATGCAAGTACCACTGATGGTTCAAGCTGCCCAGCAGTGAAATATATGAATTACGGCCCTATCTCAAACATGTTAAACTAAGAACATGGAGGATAATGCGCTTTCAAAGTACGTCAAGACACACTGGCATTTACTGAATAATCTGACATAGGTTTGAACCCTACTGCCTATTTCTTCAGCCAAACCTTTTAATTTATTCTTAGGTATTTGGTTATTTATAGACCTATTGAAGGCAAGCATTGACTTGAAAATAATGAATTATTCATTCAAGAAATATCTGAGGAACAACTATTACAGGATTCAAACATAAATAACATACAGGTTAACTCTGGCCTCAAGTTTTACTGTCTAGAAAGAGCCAGGTATTAAACAACAAATATTTATAAAATGAAATTGTTGCAGTTAACATCTATTTTCTTTGTAGGGGTGTCTAATCAACTGGTCAGTTTGTTTTGGAATACCTCTACCAGTATGTAGGTGGCTTAATCATCAGACAAAAAATTATATGAGTACTCTACAGCAATCCAGACAATCTGAAGATATTTCTCATGCCTTGGGATATTGGAAAGCTCTGCCCCAAATATTTTCATTTCCTTTCTTAAAATCTAAATGTTCCTAAAAATGAAGCATGGATTAATAAGATAATTAAAGAGGTAATCAAATGATGTGTTGAAATTTGTAAATTTTGAAACTAAAACATTATGAGTGAACGTGTTAAGATATCTTTATAAGGGGTCAGGCTCTTGTTATATATAACAAAAGTTTAACCTGGGACAATGCTGCGGGTTTGCCAGTTTTTATATAAAGAAAATACTCTATGCACTGGATATAAATATCTCCTCCAGGATAGGAAATGTTTAATTTCATTTTTTATAAATAAGGTTATGTACTTATCAACTAGGATACCTTTTATGATCCAGGCACCTTTCTATTAATTTATCTATTTTTGTACCGGGGATCAAATTTAGGACCTTGTCCCTGGGAGGCAGTTGGCAGAACCACTGAGCTAAGTTCTCGGCCCAAGGCACCTTTTTAGACAAGAGGTAACAGTAAGGAGCAACAGAAAGCCATTGCTCTTATGTTCTGGCTGGTCAGGAACGGACCACAAAATGTCAAGTAGTGATAAATATTACGGGTGATTAGAGTGACTGGAGTGGAGAGGACTTCAGACTGACTTGTGTGAGAAGGCAGGTCATAGGGACTACATTAAGCTGAACCCTTCGGAATGGAGGGAAGAATGTTAAAGCACCTAACACATTGCTGCCCAACACCTCTCTCCTCACCCTGCCACTCCTCTCTGCTGACAATCCTGGACATCACTTTTCTGAGAAAAGAGGTAATAGGTGCTCCACCATCTCTACCTCTTACTATTCCATCTCTCTGCCTGTTACAATGGGTATTGACCTCAACATTCGGGTCAAAACCTCTATGATGGCTCAATACTGGAAGGCTTGGTTCTTGCTACCAAGTAAGTGGCACCACTCCCTAACCTGTGAACACCACAAGAAGCTAAGAAGGCAGGAGCCAATTTCCACAAAGGAGGAGCAGCCGAACTAAGAAAGCAACCGGTGACAAAGCGAGAGCACCCGCTAGACTAGGCCTTCACATACTCCTGAGTGGCTAATGGGGTGAGGGGCAGCTTTAGCTTAGCAGAACCATTAGGGAAGTCAAGGAGCAGAGACGACGTAGGGCGCTGGGGGCGGAGTCCCGAGGGAGCGCTGAGCTTGCTCCGCACGCGCATGCTCGGTGCCCTGGGTTCCGGGAGGAGCGGCAGGCGGGGAGGGGCCGACA